TCTGGGGGTGGGGTGGAGGGGGGCATTCACAATTGACTCCGGCTCTGGGAATGGGGTGGAGGGGGGCATTCACAATTGACTCCGGCTCTGGGGGTGGGGTGGAGTGGGGCATTCACAATTGACTCCGGCTCTGGGGGTGGGGTGGAGGGGGGACATTCACAATTGACTCCGGCTCTGGGGGTGGGGTGGAGGGGGCATTCACAACTGACTCCGGCTCTGGGGGTGGGGTGGAGGGGGGACATTCACAATTGACTCCGGCTCTGGGGGTGGGGTGGAAGGGGGACATTCACAACTGACTCCGGCTCTGGGGGTGGGATAGAGGGGGGACATTCACAATTGACTCCGGCTCTGGGGGTGGGGTGGAGGGGGGACATTCACAATTGACTCCGGCTCTGGGGGTGGGGTGGAGGGGGACATTCACAATTGACTCCGGCTCTGGGGTGGGGTGGATGGGGGACATTCACAATTGACTCCGGCTCTGGGGGTGGGGTGGAGGGGGGACATTCACAATTGACTCCGGCTCTGGGGGTGGGGTAGAGGGCAGGGCCTCGGCTAAGGAATTTTGACTACTGGGGCAAATGATCGCAATGTGTCGAATTTCCAGGAGGAATAAAAGGCAATCGAAGTGAAAATATAATTTGCGAAAGATGCATATTTCGTCCAGTAATTTGTAACATTGCGACAAAAGAAAATCGAAGAATGTGGTGAAATTCGACAATCACGTCAGTCTTAGCATTCGAATTCAAGTTGTGCGATCTCTTAGCCACGTTTTTGGAAAGTCCCTACTCCCTTTGAAGTTGGTGAGATGTCCGTGAAGTTTTTTTCCCCTTTTTTATACACCGCCACCCATGAATCAGGTGACCGCCCTCGAACCCAACGACAACGGAGCCCTTACATTAACACCAGACAACTGAGCAGATAAATGTCTACCCCCCCTCCCCCCCCCGGTCGGGCTGACACAGAGATGAGGCTGCACGAACTCTTAAAGAAATAGGTACTGGCCACCTGTGTAGATAACCAATCAACCGTGACTTTCGGACGAATAGGAATGCAGAATCAGGTAGCACACGGAACTTATCGCGCAACAACATAGGATGATGTAATAAAAACGAGTGAGTAACGACTGTAGAAAGGCAACATTTACCACCAAAATTGATTTTGACCCCAACCGAAAATCTCTGGCGACACCAATGGTACAGCCCTCTGCAAACTGCGTGGTAGGTATTCTTTTTTCAACAAAACCGAGAATAACGCAGATACTATGTAACAGCAAGACGCATGGGACTCCGCACCTTAGATTGACATTATCATCATATTCATTTTCCACCCAGTTTGGCAACAAAACCCAAAAGTTTATATTTGCCCCCAAAACAAACTTTTGCATTTTATTGCCACACAAGGCGTATACTTTGCTTAGTGATAGTCGATAGACCCAATCAAAGGAGTGGGGCACGGCGCATCTATTTGCAGTGAGTTCCGACCGACTGATAACATAGACTTTGAGTTACAATCGGTTTTGTCCAAAAAAGAATACCTACCACGCAGTCTGCTGAGGGCTGTACAGTAACCCCCTCACCAGTACAGTCGGCGCAGTGACCTCACCTGTTGCGATGCAGTCGGTGTGGTGACCTCACCTGTTGGCGATACAGTCGGTGCAGTGACCTCACCTGTTGGCGATACAGTCGGTGCAGTGACCGCCGTGCCCCGTCTTGTCATACAGCTCCTGGTCGAAGAAGCACCGGTTCGAATAACCGTTGCAGTTGCACGCTGTAAACAGCGGTGGCTGTGAGAGCTGGGCCGTGACATGACTCCGTTCAGCCGTCCTATATGCCTAGCAGATCGCCTATCTCCAGCACAGCGCGCAGGGTGCGCAGATCCCGACCCGGCCGACTGGCCAGTGCAGCCGGCGCACAGTGCGCGGCTCAGCTGGACATCCGTCTGCCCCGCTGAGCAGCTGGCGCGGCCGGCCCCGGGCTCAGCCTCAGTCTGTCCCCAGTGCCTAGTTACTCTGTGGGTACCCCTTACCTACTCAGACCGGACGGCGCGGGTAGCCGCAGGGTGCCGACAACACCTGACAGCCGCCCTAAACGCGTCGGCCCGCGTGCCGCCCACGTCGCACAGCCGTATTCGGGCGGTCCAGTGGGACCCCACTAGCTGCCGGCCCCATGCCAGCTGATCGAGCCGCTCCACGACCACGGCCCACTCGATCAGAGTGACCAGTTCGGACGGCAGTGCCGGCACGTCTGGGCTGATCGGGCCCGACGAGCCGCGCCACAGTGCTGATGGCCCACAGAATCCTTCCGCTGCGCCCGCCGCCCGTATAGCGCCAAACGTCAGCGCACAGCCAGTGAATGGAGCTTCGCTACGAGCACTCAGTCGCACTGGAAACCCGACAGAACCAAACGAGAGCACGGCATTCTATGAAAATCGCACATAGCAGCCACCACCCCAATTCTTTATAGGCGGTGTGCCACGTAGCGGTCCGGCGGCTCTACGCCGGTTGCGGAAAAATCTGTCAGCTCAGGTCATGTGACTCCCGCGGGTCGAGAGCCACCAATCGCTGCGCGCCACGATTGGCCGGCGGGTCGGCCGTCCGGGCCGCGCGGCGGCGACCCCGCCACTCGTGCACTGGTTCTGTGTGGTTCTTGACGTGTGCGTCTGCGTGAACGGTAAGATTTGCTATTTTGTTACTATGAATTGTTGTAAACCCTCATTCATTGTTAACTTTGCTTTGCTTAGTGGTTATGTTTATCGTTGTCTTGCATTTGTGCCTTGCTAAGTTAATTTTAATCTGTTGCAGGACGCGAGCTAGTAGCGGAGCTAATAGCGAGCTAATAGCGAGTTGATAGCGGAGCTAATGTCTGAGATTTGAGATTTGAGATTTGAAATCCGCACCACAATATAAACTAAGAAAGCATAAGCACCGTGTCGTCGATGGGAGGCAGCAGTCGTGACGCAGAGCTCGGCACCCCGGCCCTACATATTCACTCACATCATGTTGATTTCTCGTCTCCCCTTTCCTGTCCGGTTCGGTTCGGTTCGGTTCGGTTCGGTTCGGTTCGGTTCGGTTCGGTTCGGTCCGGTCCGGTCCGGTCCGGTCCGGTCCGGTCCGGTCCGGTCGGTCGGTCGGTCGGTCGGTCGGTCGGTCGGTCGGTCGGTCGGTCGGTCGGTCGGTCGGTCGGTCGGTCGGTCGGTCCGGTCGGTCGGTCGCCTTACCCTGGCACTCGCTGGCGGCGTCCGGTGTAGCGCGCCGCCACGGCACGTCGTTGTAGAAGGGCAGGCAGCGCTGGCAGTCGGCGCCCGCCGTGTTGTGCTGGCACTGACACACCAGGCGCTCCTCACCCGACTCGCTGGTGCTCGGCACGCAGTTGGACGCGTGACCGTTACACTTGCACGTGCCTGCCGGACGTGACAGGAGACACGTGACGTGACGGCACTATACGGACAGGACAACGAAAGGATAGCGGGAGGAGAAACATGACACATCTGATCATACACACTTGCGTGATTTTAAGGCGGGGTAAGCGACAGTGATATTTCTGAATATGTAGATTAGATGCGTTAAATTTGTCAAAGTTGATGAGCGGGAAGTTCAGCAGAGCTGCTGTGAGGTGCCCAGTGCCGACTGGTGGCCCGCAGCCCGGTCGCGTTTGGTGCCGTTTGGCGGCGTGTGAGCGGGGGCGGTGGAGGGAAGGAAGGGCGGCCGGGCCAGCCCGCCCACATTTCACCAGGGTGGTGTCTCACCGGCACTGCGCTACAGCCGTGCGCTGGGTTTCCACAGAAACATCAACAAGCTCAGACGCTCGTAACGCTGAAGCCTCGAGCCGAATTCGTCTCAAACGCCGCACCAATACAGACAGCAGCACGCTGCAGCGCAGTGTAGCGTCGGGCCGTGAAACACCGCCCAGATATTATCGTCTCAACAACACTTCCCCCGCCCCCCACCCCCACCCCCAGCAGCCCATAATCACTGCTGTATTGGTGCGGACTGCGGACCCCGAACTTCAGAAAACGAAGTCTGCATTTGAGCGACATTGGCTAGCTGTGAGACTCCCTCGCCCAGGCTGGGAGCGCCGCGGCCGCGGCCCTGCACTGACCCCACCAGAAGCCCACTTTGAGTGGCGAACTGGCGAAACGGGCGAAATGGGAAGCTGACGACTCGTTAAACAAGCACAATCCATCTTTGCTGTCAACAGGTTTGTCAATTCACTCCTGTTATGGCGGGCATAGTGTCAGACACATTTATTGAGATGTGCGTCCATCCGACTGACTGGTGCACGGACTGGTGCAGACTGCACACTGCAGCATGGTCGGCTCGCCAGCGCGTCCCTCCCACGGCCCACTCTGCGTGTGCCGGCACTGTGCGGCGGCCTGCCCCCCACCCCCCCCCCCCCGCATGGCCCGTACCTCCGACGGCGAAGTCTGTGATGGCGTAGTAGTAGGACTGGAGCACGCGCGGGTCGCGGAACACCTCGTCTCCGAACGTGTTGAGCCGGTTGAGGGTGATGCGGATGGCGGTGGCGGTGACCCAGTGCTGCAGCTGGACGTTGTAGTCGAACTGCAGCGCTCCCGGGCGGCCCTCCAGCGTGGCGAACGCCACAGAGCCGTCCGTCAGGGGCGAAATGTCCGAGAACTCGCTGGTGCAGATCGCGCGGTCCTCGCTGTCCTCGGGCAGGTACACCAGGTCCGGCAGGCCGTATGTGTCGCGGCACGACGAGCTGCCGGCCGCCGGAGGGGAGGTCAGCCGAGCGGCGCGGCGACTCCACACCACAGTCGGCCGACAACGCCACACCATACCACACCACAGTCGGCCGACAAAGTCACACCATACCACAACACAGTCGGCCGACAACTTCACAGCACAGCCGGCTCCACACCACACCACAGTCGGCTTCACATCATACCACAGCCGGCCGCCAGCTCTATAGCATACCACAGCCGGCCGCCAGCTCCATAGCATACCACAGCCGGCCGCCAGCTCCATAGCATACCACAGTCAGCCGCTAGCTCCCCACCACAGTCGGCCGAAAACTCCATACCACAGTTGGCCAGCGATGAAAAAGCCACGAGTGGCTATAATTATCAGTGGATATCAGTGGATCATAAAGCAGCAGTGCCATTCACCAATTTCATATGCATACCTACGAGTACAATAAGTACATATTACATAAATAGTCTGAGACTGAGGGAGCCGGTGTAAATAGTCTGAGACTGAGGGAGCCGGTGTAAATAGTCTGAGACTGAGGGAGCCGGTGTAAATAGTCTGAGACTGAGGGAGCCGGTGTAAATAGTCTGAGACTGAGGGAGCCCGTGTCAGACTGTGTAGTACTGGCACGGGACCCGGTGTCGCCTATCATCACCTGTAGTACTGGAGCGGGACCCGGTGTCACCTGTAGTACTGGAGCGGGACCCGGTGTCACCTGTAGTACTGGAGCGGGACCCGGTGTCACCTATCATCACCTGTAGTACTGAAGCGGGACCCGGTGTCAGACTGTCCTCACCTGTAGTACTGGTACGGGACCCGGTGTCACCTGTAGTACTGGAGCGGGACCCGGTGTCACCTGTAGTACTGGAGCGGGACCCGGTGTCACCTGTAGTACTGGAGCGGGACCCGGTGTCACCTGTAGTACTGGAGCGGGACCCGGTGTCACCTGTAGTACTGGAGCGGGACCCGGTGTCACCTGTAGTACTGGAGCGGGACCCGGTGTCAGACTGTCCTCACCTGTAGTACTGGAGCGGGACCCGGTGTCACCTATCATCACCTGTAGTACTGGAGCGGGACCCGGTGTCAGACTGTCCTCACCTGTAGTACTGGTACGGGACCCGGTGTCACCTGTAGTACTGGAGCGGGACCCGGTGTCAGACTGTGTAGTACTGGAGCGGGACCCGGTGTCACCTGTAGTACTGGAGCGGGACCCGGTGTCACCTGTAGTACTGGAGCGGGACCCGGTGTCACCTATCATCACCTGTAGTACTGGAGCGGGACCCGGTGTCAGACTGTCCTCACCTGTAGTACTGGTACGGGACCCGGTGTCACCTGTAGTACTGGAGCGGGACCCGGTGTCACCTGTAGTACTGGAGCGGGACCCGGTGTCAGACTGTGTAGTACTGGAGCGGGACCCGGTGTCACCTGTAGTACTGGAGCGGGACCCGGTGTCAGACTGTGTAGTACTGGAGCGGGACCCGGTGTCACCTGTAGTACTGGAGCGGGACCCGGTGTCACCTGTAGTACTGGAGCGGGCCCCGGTGTCAGACTGTCCTCACCTGTAGTACTGGAGCGGGACCCGGTGTCACCTGTAGTACTGGCGCGGCCCCGATGACCGGTGTCAGCCTGTCCTCACCTGTAGTACTGGAGCGGGACCCGGTGTCGCCTGTAGTGCTGGAGCGGGACCCGGTGTCAGACTGTCCTCACCTGTAGTACTCGTACGGGACCTGGTATCACCTGTAGTACTGGAGCGGGACCCGGTGTCACCTGTAGTACTGGAGCGGGACCCGGTGTCACCTGTAGTACTGGAGCGGGACCCGGTGTCACCTGTAGTACTGGAGCGGGACCCGGTGTCACCTATCATCACCTGTAGTACTGGTACGGTACCCGGTGTCAGACTGTCCTCACCTGTAGTACTGGAGCGGGCCCCGGTGTCAGACTGTCCTCACCTGTAGTACTGGTACGGTACCCGGTGTCAGCCTGCCCTCGCCTGTAGTACTGGAGCGGTACCCGGTGTCACCTGTAGTACTGGTACGGTACCCGGTGTCAGCCTGTCCTCACCTGTAGTACTGGTACGGTACCCGGTGTCACCTGTAGTACTGGTACGGTACCCGGTGTCAGACTGTCATCACCTGTAGTACTGGACGGGACCCGGTGTCGCCTGTAGTACTGGAGCTGGACCCGGTGTCACCTGTAGTACTGGAGCGGGACCCGGTGTCAGCCTGTCCTCACCTGTAGTACTGGTACGGTACCCGGTGTCAGACTGTCCTCACCTGTAGTACTCGTACGGGACCTGGTATCACCTGCAGTACTGGAGCGGGACCCGGTGTCACCTGTAGTACTGGAGCGGGACCCGGTGTCACCTGTAGTACTGGAGCGGGACCCGGTGACAGCCTGTCCTCACCTGTAGTACTGGTACGGGACCCGGTGTCAGACTGTCCTCACCTGTAGTACTGGAGCGGGACCCGGTGTCACCTGTAGTACTGGCGCGGGACCCGGTGTCAGCCTGTCCTCACCTGTAGTACTGGTACGGGACCAGGTGTCACCTGTAGTACTGGTACGGTACCCGGTGTCAGACTGTCCTCACCTGTAGTACTGGTACGGGACCCGGTGTCACCTAGTACTGGAGCGGGCCCCGGTGTCAGCCTGTCCTCACCTGTAGTACTGGTACGGGACCCGGTGTCGCCTGTAGTACTGGAGCGGGCCCCGGTGTAAGCCTGTCCTCACCTGTAGTACTGGAGCGGTACCCGGTGTCAGACTGTCCTCACCTGTAGTACTGGAGCGGTACCCGGTGTCAGACTGTCCTCACCTGTAGTGCTGGTACGGTACCCGGTGTCACCTGTAGTACTGGAGCGGGACCCGGTGTCACCTGTAGTACTGAAGCGGGACCCGGTGTCACCTGTAGTACTGGAGCGGGACCCGGTGTCACCTATCATCACCTGTAGTACTGGAGCGGTACCCGGTGTCAGCCTGTCCTCACCTGTAGTACTGGTACGGGACCCGGTGTCAGCCTGTCCTCACCTGTAGTACTGGTACGGGACCCGGTGTCAGCCTGTCCTCGCCTGTAGTACTGGAGCGGTACCCGGTGTCAGACTGTCCTCACCTGTAGTACTGGAGCGGTACCCGGTGTCAGACTGTCCTCACCTGTAGTACTGGAGCGGGACCCGGTGTCACCTGTAGTACTGGAGCGGGCCCCGGTGTAAGCCTGTCCTCACCTGTAGTACTGGAGCGGTACCCGGTGTCAGACTGTCCTCACCTGTAGTACTGGAGCGGTACCCGGTGTCAGACTGTCCTCACCTGTAGTGCTGGTACGGTACCCGGTGTCACCTGTAGTACTGGAGCGGGACCCGGTGTCAGCCTGTCCTCACCTGTAGTACTGGTACGGTACCCAGTCCGAGTCGGCAGAGTACTTCTTGTAGATGGCGAAACTCTCCGGCCGAGGAGACTTGAATTTGAGCCGAATATAGGTAATGTCGAACGCCTTGCCTGTAAAGACACGCACATGAATGTCAGAGGCACATGAATAGGTATTGGATTGGTTAAGTGACCATCCGTGAGCACAAAATACACGTTTTCGTTAAGCATAGGCGGATTCAGGCATGCTAAGACGGGGGCAGTAGGTACATTGAGATTACCCCCTTTCTCAGGTACCTCGGTCCACCTATTCCAACATTTTCATTGTAGAATGACGTCACATAGTCTTAAGGTGCATACATATGACGGGTAGTGCCACTGATCACCATTACAAACCGCTAGAGTGGTTTTCCGTCGAGAGCAAAAAAAAAAAAAAACTAAGTGGGGGCCGATTCGCCCCCCCCCCGCACCAGTAATAGGGTGAAGTCGTTTTCCATCGAGAGCAAAAAAACTACAGGTGGGGGCCGATTGCTCCCCCCCCCCCCCCCCCACCACCACCACCAGCATGGGTGGAGAACCTGCCTCGGCCACCCCGGCCGTGGCCGGGGTAACTTTCAGCCGACCCCGGCGCGGCCGGGGTAACTTTTTCCACTTTTGTAAATCCTAAAAGCTGTCTCCATACGAAAAAACTGCCATCTATAAAAGCGTCTCTCATTATTCTTATCTACCTTGAAAAGTTATTGAAAATTTACTTTACTATTTTCATTTTGGAGCTTCTATGTTTTTAAGTTTTTTCATCGCAGAGCCCGACATGTTTCATCAAACAGAAGTAGGTAGGTAAATCATATTTCAGGTGCGAGCTCAAATCAATAAGAGGGCCAAAACGGTCAAATTTGACATTTTGTTTTGTGTGGGAAGTTTGCAACTTCCACGGAATAAGCTTTGCAAAGGGCATTAGCACGATCATCCAGCAAATTTGACCTGATGACCTGACCTAGCACTAGGTGACATGCGTCCGAAATTTTAAGGCGTGTTGCAAAATTGTTGTTACAATTACGAAATCTTCCGCCCCTGCGTGCAGCAGTTTTCCCTAAAAACGTACAAACGGCAGACATCCTAGGGGTTTGTTGATAACCGTTGACAAATATTTGAGCATCATCGTCTTTCTGACTTTCGGTCGCCGGCCGGGGTAACTTTTTCAAACATTCTCCACCCGTGACCACCAGTAATAACTAATAAGTAATAGGGTTAAAGGAAATAGGTATGCCACCTTCCTTAAATTTGTTTTGTTGCAATTGATTTGACTTGTTATGCTCAAAGTATTCAGAAAATATATAAAACCTTGTTAAAGAAAAGATTATCCTCTATATATCAATACAGAAAGAACTATATTTTATGTTTGACGCGGAAGCTTATTACGCGTTGACCAATCATGTTGCGTAGTTCAAACCTACACGCATGCTACATTGGCTGTCAGCAGCGTGCTGATTGGCTGACGATGACGTGGCTGCACTCCTCTACAAGGACCGTATTCCTCTACAAGGTACTCTTTTCGGAACGAGCATTAGAATATTTTTGTCTGATGATCGCTGGCCGTAAAAGCTTATGATTTGTGCTATAGAAAATATTTCCTGAATCAGTATCGTGGCAGTTGAAAACGAACGCGAATCGTAACTTTTTAAGGTTATCAACGCAAACAAAGCGATTGTAAGGAAGAACAAGTTCGAACAGAGCGTTAGTACTCTTACTTGTTGACAATTTGTAAGCTAGCAATGCCCAGTCAAAGGCTAGTTCATTAACAAACCAGGGGTTGGTGAACCGACAAGGAAACGACTATGCCTATCCAGAAGTTGGTAGGTCCACAAGGCCCAGACTAGTACATCAACAAGGTGACGCCTATGCGAATTGGAACCAAACTTGTAGACAAACTGTTAGTTTGTTGGCCAACAAGCCTGGGGCTGGTGAATCGACAAGATGACGCCTAGCGAATTGGAACCAAACTTGTAATCAAGGAGCCAACTTGTAGATTTGGTTTACAGTGTACCTACCTACAATAACATCACAGCACAGCACAGCACAACACAGCACAACACACCATAACACAACACAGCACAACATAACACAGCACAACACAGCACAACACAGCAGCCGCCTCAGAGGTGAGCTGATCACACGCTCGCCAGGCAATGTCAATAGTTTTAAAGAATGGAAAGCGAGATCAGGTAATGTTGACGGACGGTAGGTCTACACAAAGCGACTGTCATACGATGGTTGTTAGATAACATCATAGCTGATCCAATCAACAACGCACATTTTCAGAATGTAGTTGCGCGCCGCCGACTTATCGCATTCCCACCACGTCTTGCTGGCCAGTGGCCACCATCCACTCGTCCGGGCGGCCGCGCCCCTCCGCGCCGACCCCAAATATGGGCCGCTGGGAAGACACGCAGCCGCAGCGATATCCATAGAAGATACCTCACACCAAATAGGGCGCCAGCAAAAGCGAGCGGGCTCTAGCACCAAAGAAAGAAAGATGAGAAGTTTGCTTTGGTTTCCTACAGCTCAGCACGCGTATTAAGCACGGCAAACACATGGTTGGTGACCACCGAATACCGATGCCACAGCGCCTTCCCTGTCCGGCTCGGTCGTCCTCCACAGATGCGCTATATAGTATACGGGCCACACTATGGGTGACTGCATCCGCCCTGCCGTCCCGTCAGCGGAACCCGGCCGCCCTCCGGTCCCGTCAGCGGAACCCGGCCGCCCTGCCGTCCCGTCAGCGGAACCCGGCCGCCCTGCCGTCCCGTCAGCGGAACCCGGCCGCCCTGCCGTCCCGTCAGCGGAACCCGGCCGCCCTGCCGTCCCGTCAGCGGAACCCGGCCGCCCTGCCGTCCCGTCAGCGGAACCCGGCCGCCCTGCCGTCCCGTCAGCGGAACCCGGCCGCCCTCCCGTCCCGCCGCTGTCCGCCGGACCGGACCAGTGCAGAGGTCCGGCGGCGTCCGCGCGCCAGCCGGTCCAGCGCGGACGTGCCGTGACCAGCGCGGCGATAGTGGCGCGCCGTGTCCAGTGCGGCGATAGTGGCGCGGACACGGACGTCCGCCGCTCCGTCCGTCTGTGGACGGCCGGAAACGGGTCCCGGAAACAGGCGACGGACATGGGACGACCCTGGATACAGGAGCGGTGAGCCAGGCCAGGGATGGACTCAATGAGCGCATCTGCACGGCACCAGAAGCGCTCTCGCGTCTCCTATCCGGCGCGCGGGGCCGAAGGCCTCGCACTGCTGGTAGGTACATCTCACTAAAGGCTGAAACAGCCTCTTCCCGCATTCAGGAAATCGCATGCGAGAGCCTATTCAAATACAATAGATATAATTCTCCCCACATCAACCGCATGCGGGAGGTGCGTGCGATGGATGTGAGCGTGCTTCCATGCATTTGAATAGGCTCTTGCATGCGATTTCCTGACTGCGGAAAGAGTCTGTTTCAGCCTTAACACGCAGTCAAAAATGAAGACTGGCGAGCTCCGCGAGGACAGCTGAGGCTGACACGTGGCGGCCCTGGTCCTGAACTGGTGCCGGGCAGCTGCGCCGCTAGCCTAGTGGACCAACAGACCGCGACACCTCAGTGGACCAACAGACCGCGACACCTCAGTGGACCAACAGACCGCGCCACCTCAGGGGACCAACAGACCGCGCCACCTCAGGGGACCAACAGACCGCGCCACCTCAGTGAGTGGATTAGGGACTGCCCTCGGCTCGTTACGGCCCACTGCGTGATCCGCAGGTCACGGCAGGTCACGGTCCGTGGAAATTCTCGATTTCCAGCCGTCAAGGAGCGTCATCTATAGTAGCAATTCCCTATAGCTTTTACATATCTGCCGCCAGGGGGATAAATCCCCTTAGTTGGAATCTACTTAAAGTAAAAAATATTTATATTAGACGCATATGAAGATAACTCGGGACTGATTGTTAAGTTGCATGCTCACGGCGGGCTGTCTTCGATCTATCACTATACATGTCTTATCTGATCGATGAAATAATACAGGAATCCGTTGTCATTCGGGTGTGTTTCATAATAGCTCTTCCGACTTTGACGAATATCGACAGTGCCGTAACAACTTTGGTAGTTCGGGTACAGACTGCAATCAAACTGCAGCCAGTTCTTTTGCAACTTATTCCTTAATCAGATGAATACTTGTCATCGATTTATTGGGCGTACGATATTGGCGTGTGAACGAAGGGGCCAAAAATGCGTATCTACGACCGACTTCTTTTTAAAGGGACTATCCCACCTTTAATATGGGGTTTGAGTTGAGATAGCCAAGTTTGCGGCGAGGTTCAGAAACCACTATCTATCTAGGTTGGAACCCCCGCGGCCTCTTGGTGTTGAAGAAATTCGTTCCCTTCATTTGAAAATGGGCCTTGTACAAGGCCCTATCTTCAACATGGAGCGACCGTTAGTGTGACGTCACCTCGTTTAGTCATTCTGATTTAAATGGGTTTGTCCGTTGAAAAATCGCTTAAAACTTGGTCTGAACTTTGTTGTGGTGCCTACAGAGTAAAAAGAATCAGCTTTATGACAGTAATGTGGCCTGGGGAAGGAGGTAATTTTGGGCTGTGACGTCACATATTTGAAAGTTTGTGTTTGGAATATGGGATGCCTAAGATGTTTAATGAAAAATAAGTGCCAGAACCGTGTTCCTGGTCATCCAATCTATAAAGTCGGGCACAATTTAACTGGTTTTAACAACATTTTAGAAGGTGGGATAGTCCCTTTAAAGGAAATAGTTCACTTTCACGAAATTATTTTTTTTTGCAACGGATTTATGATTTTTTATGTTCAAAATGATCAGCAAAGCAAATAAAACCTTTTTATAACAAAATATTATTTTCTATATTTTGATATAGGAAGAACTTTTCAGTTTCTGTAAGGCACACGCGATCCAGTATGAAAAGAGCATGGGTCCCGAAAATTCTTCAGAAACTAGAGAACTTATCGCAGCCACCGGCATTTGGGCGATCTGCTCGATCTGATAATGTTCCCCTGAATGTCCTAATTGATCAGTACGAGAATTTCTCTAGAGTTCTCGTAGATAATTTCTCTAGTTTCTGAAGAATTTTCGGGACCCATGCT